TGTGTTTTCATCTTCCTCCGATGTGCTCGCATCACCTTGTGCACCCTCTTCACCTGAAACAAGACGATTTGAAGAGAAAACATGGCTTCCAACCAGTGGTCAAGTATCCTCAGTTTTACACAATTTCAGCCCATTTACAGATGCTGCCAAATCACGTTGCAAGCCATCTTTTAGTAGTCCGCGGAGAAACAGCAACCATAGAAAAGTCCCAAGTTAAGAGTCTACAGCCCAAACAAACCATCGATTCGTTCAGCTGCATCGTTGCTGCAAAAAGGCTGTTCATCAGAGGCGGCCAACGACGGCGCTGGCATTGGCGAAGCAGTAGCCACGGAACCACGCCGCCAGGAATTTGACTTTTTCTTTGTTGTGGGCTCATAACGGATAGCTGGTTGATCACGAAGCTGCCGGCCGGCTTGCCGAAGTTTACTCCTGCAAGTAGCTCATCACAAACTTTGCTTCATCAAGACCTGATATTTTTGCAGAAAACAATGTCCAGCTGGTGGTAGCTCTGTACTAATTACGATGGTGAGTTTTCATACAAAGACCCATCTATGAAAAGCATTCTTAATTCTCATATAAAATCAACGCCGATCCTAATGCCTGTCTTTCAAAATTGAACAATTCAAGAACGTAAATGATTAAGTGAACAAACGAATGATCCACGAGATACATGATTACCTGTTTCTCACATGAAGCTCGGTCGTTTTTTCGGTACACGCTAGTTTTTTGAAAAAATCATGCAAATTTTTTGAAAAAATGCAAATTTCCAATTCACTAAAAAGTGGAAGTATTGCTCGAGCGGCCATCTGTGGAAAAATCCAAGCATGCAAATGAATTAATGTTCATTTACACATTTGGGTAAGGCTGTCGTTTGCTGCAAAACACGCTCGTTTCTGATTTTTCGTTAAAGTTGATTATTTCTCATGCCTACCTTGAGGGAATTTCACCTCCAAGCAGAATTAAGACGCACTTGAAAGTAAAATATTCCAGCAAATTTTCAGCCCCGCAGCTTATCCGGTATGCGAAATATTCACTTCGCTACAAATGTCTTTGAAATGCCCTAAGTCCTGGCGCAAGTGCAAGTCAGTGCTCATTTTAGGCATACTGTCTCATATATGGGAGACAAATATCCTGTCAAAATTTCAGCTACTGTTTTCAGGCAAATTTTTTAGTTAGCATAGTACCAAGTTGCAAACTTTAACGTGGTCGTACGCGCTGCACAAGCGTGCGCGGCAGCTGAATTTAAAATCTTTAGCTCGGACATTCACAGAGAATATCCTTGCAAAGTTTCAGCTTTGTACCTTGCCCGCTTCGCGAAATCGCTCCCCCTTTTTTATGCGTTTTTTGCAGCAATGCAATGCGAAAAACGCATAATGACGAGAGGTTGTCTGTGTGT